ACCAGGACCACCGGAAACTGGTGTAGATATCCCACATTAACTGTGTTTGCTTGACATATCTGCTCTGCACTGGGCATTTGGGATGCTCTCTTCTACCCTGGACTGTATACCTACGGTTAGTGTCCACCATGGTATGAGAGTCGGTTTATTCTTGTGCGTACCTGAAAGACGTTTCGATCTGCGTAAAGTTCTTTCAAAACCATTTTCATATTGATCTTCTGAGGTTTTTCATAGATCACAACAGGAACAACGCGCAACTTCGGTAGACCGGATGTCGATGGCATATTAGAATCGTTGTAACCCGCAGCTACAAAAATGCAGCTGTGAAAAAAGAAACAATTTTTTCCTAGGATTTCTGGGCAACAACAAATCATTATATTAGGAGGCACTGACTGGGATCAGCACGATTGCCCGAATTTTTGTGAGAAACTCTTGGTAATGATTCCCCAGTTTTTAATTGTTGCTTCAATCACGTACGTGTACCACCTAAGAGCTGACGTTTAAATATACATGTAAACAAACGCACCCTTTGCAAAGTCCTTGGTTATGAGAGGATGAGCTTCAGTCGCAGACTTCTGCTTTACAGCCGATTCCTCCGCCGTCCTGAAATTATGAAAGGGCTTAAGCGTTCTGGGCACTTTTATTGGCTGCAGTCAAACGTGAAATGTCAAGATCAGAGATAATGGTTCAATCTAAATATGATGAGCGCATCAGAGGACAGCAATTTCTTTTCCATCCCTCAGCTGAAAACAAAAAATGCGGCGGGACTGGGATTCACCGATACCTACCATCACGCACTTGATGAGCATATTCTGGTCACCGGTACGGTTATATGTGTCGTTATACACCGATCCGTCAAATAGCACAGGTACAACAGACCCGACACATATCTAACTTCTAGGTTCGGCATCTGGGAGCATTCCAGTGGCAACAATAATATTGGATCACCACACTGGCTGCCTAGACGGTCTCACTATCTTGGTATTACAGGTAAGCACGGTGTTTATACGAAAATTTATTAAAATATCCTTCATAGCATGGAAGGGACGGAGAGTGATGATGATGATGACTTGGAAAAAAAACGTACATGCAGAAAAAACCTAGTAACTAGAATTTGTGATATACTCTACTCGAAGTTCAGGAGGTTAGTTGTGCAACTGTACGGTATTTGAACAGGAACCATTCCGTTAAAATTTCAGCTTTTCAGTTTTTCTGGTCCCTAAGTTAGCAGTTTTCCCGCCGAAAGCATTCACGGGCCATAAGTGGGAACTATGCACACCTAGGGGCTGAACTTGAAACCTTAAAATTTTACTCAGTCTAGGAAAATCCCCTTAAAATCTCAGCCTCTCCGCTTATCAGCTTTCCGAATTAGCGATTTTCTCGTCAAAACTTTCACGTGCTCTTACGCGGGGCCCAGACGTGTGTGAAGGTTGACACCGCGATCCTGAGGTGGCACTTGGCTGGGAAACCCACCGGCAAAACTTTGGCACCGGAGCTTGCTTGGTTGCCAAGCTGAATTACCCGGACAGATGTACACAAACACACGCGCACACCACGGGTCATCAAAACATGTGTTTACAAATATG